ATAAATTCTTGACTTTTAAAACGGCAAAAAAAAAAAAAAGCTCATGTCCTTAAAGGTTTTTACGTTGATCGATTGTTGTAAGCTTCAAAAACATAAAACCCCATTATCTAATGCAGATTATCTTTCGTTCCACCAACTATGGAAGAACTGATAAATTCAAAATGAATACTTGGAAACCGGAAGAATACAGAGGGAGAGAAGAGAGTAGAGAGAATTCTCAGCCTCTGGTGTGTGGAATACAGCTCCAAGAAACCATAATCTTAGCCGCAAAAACCCTAGAAGACACCCAAAATAACCGCAAGAGCCAGAGTACACTCGTCACGGTATGAAGTCACACGTTAATTGGATTGGTCCAACCCGATCCAACCAAAACCAAAACTTTGCTAAAATTAAAAGTTCCTCAACTCTCGGCGCCCAAAAATGCAAAGTAAATCACATCATTCCAAGAACCTCTCGTCCATTCACATTTGTGGGCTTGACCCATACCTTATCCTCCACTAAAACAAGATAAACCTATTGTAGGTTTTTCCCCCAACTACATGGGACTAGAGAAAATTGCATTTTGCATCTTGTAATTCAACTTTCTAAACCAATCACTATACTATCCATGTAGACTTCTTTACTTTTGTTATATCTATCTTTTATGGTATATCTTTAACCTTCAGAGATTGCACGTGTAACCATTGAATATAAATATTGATGATTTTGTACCGAAAAAAATTAGTGTCACAACTTAAAACTATCTAATATATTTTGATTATTGTGATCATCATAACAATTATCCATGATACTATATTAAAACATTGCCTATAATTAAACATCTTACTAAAAGTTACATTATTAATCAGACTTATAAGTTCTACAAAAGGATATTGCGTCATCTAATATGGACATTTTCAATGAAGTATGCAGGTTCTCATGATAATTCCTCTGAGGTTAGTTCGTCCTTATTTTTCTTACTTATATGGGCATTTTCATTAGCATTTTACAAAAATATGATAATGTGGTAACTGACAAAAGATTGCAGCCTTTTTCCTATCTACAATGCACATTAAACAAAGTTTAACCACATATTGGTTACAGGTGAGATCTCTTTTTTCACAGTTGACAATGAGAAGAATGTTGGTATTGAACAATGTAAAAGAATTCAACATGTGTCAAACATATGCCTATGTCTAAAGCTGTTTAAAACACATCAGTTGACTAGATTAATAACCGATCTTTGAAAACGCTTGGTTTTTTTGTCTTATGGTCCTTAGACAATATTTTTTTTCTGAATTTGAAAGCTAGCAAGGCAATGCAATGCATAGGGATCCAAGGCCCAAAAAGCTTCCTTAAAATCTCAGGTTATATAACAGATCTGTAACATTTTCTTTCAGATACATTAATCTTTCTATATTATTTTTCTCAAATATCAATGGCAACCAATTTTCAACCTCATAAAATTTACATCAATATTAAAAAGTATAATAATAAATATCGTTATGTACCATAAAGTGGAATATTTTATTGGTTACTTCGTTTTAACATATAGTTTGATTATTTGTAAAATAACTAAGATAAACTAATTTTTGGATAAATCAATGGCATCAATATTCTATACCACATAGATTCATTGTTTTTATATTTTTTTATTTAGATGAAAATGGTTTAATGCAAGGATTAACAATTTACTTTACTTGGTTTGTTTTCTATAACGTCCAACTGTCATTTTATTTTTTTATTCGCAGTTATAAATGTGTGACTGTATCACCCTTTGAGTGTGTGTATGATGAAATGTAATTGATAAACAAGTTAAATGTATGCATAAACAGTTAAATATTAATTGGAGAGATAAAGTGTGATGCATATTTAAAAAAAAAAAAATAGAAGTTCAATGCTAAAGTTGGGTAGATTTTTCAAAGTAATAGATTCCTGGTTCTCTTTTTCTCCACATTCAAGGCCTAGCATACGATTCTATCAATTAAATTTAGAATTTAATTTTATAGGTTCTTGCCCTAAGATGGAAATGGATGTCATAATTGTTATTTTGTACATGAGAGGTTGTTTTGACGCTGATTTACCATGTTTTTTTTTGCCTAGGTTTTTATAGGAGTTTCTTTGTCTTTTTTATTAATAAAGAGCTCTTTGTAGTTATATTGATATGTGTTACTACTTTTAGTAAAACATGGGTAATAGATAGGTATGATGAGGTTTCTTATATAGTCAGAAATAACAAGAAATAACAACGCACTACATTTCTATTTGATTTTTTAGTTTTCATTAAATCATGCATTCAAAATTAGACAAATGAAATTATGTTGCTATTTCTTTAATTTTTATTTCTAAAATCTAGGTTATGTTAATTTATCACCTGTGTAGCACACGAGTTTTAACCTAGTTTTATGAATATGAATTCATTAAAAGAGCTCTTGAAAGAAAATGATATCAATCGTAACAAAAGTATATCGATAATAAAAACAACACGTGTCCCAAAACTAATAACAAACAACAATAGTTCGCGAGCTAAAATTGCATTATAAGCACCTTCGTATACTACACAAGAACTTAGCGATCCTATTTTTTAATTTTAAAAAGTAGACACCGGCAATATTTCATAAAACATAACTTAAAGTCTAACAAGAAGTTCAAGATTATATTTTATCCAAGGTTGTCAAGATCCCGATTCTGATTATAGGATTATAAGATTTTAAGATCCTACCTATAAAATTCACGTGGGATCATAATACGATCACTTTATATGTAAGATCGCATATGGATCGTAGGAACGGGATCCGATCCAATCCTATCACTCTATGAAAATTGACAAATTTTAATCTGAATTCTCATTTCTTTACCCATTTACTAATTAATCCAATCACCTTACCCACATGTCAATCAATAATAACCTTATTCAATACCTATTTTCTGAACCGTAAACCGATTGATATTGCTTCTTACCCTTATTGATTATGCTTCTTATCAAGAGCGGTATACTGTAAATTGGTTGATGAATGTGAATTTTGCGTGATTTAAACTTATAATTATGTCATTTTCGGTGGGTTTTAGGATCTCGATATCGATCTTACGATCCTGATTTTGTAAAACCGAAAAAGATCCTACGTATGATCATGATCTTCACAACCTTGGTTTCGTCATTAGAGGGAGTACCAAAGTACATAGCTGACTCTTTCACAGCAAGTTGACTAGTAGCAACATATGGTTTGACGGCAACAAGTAGTGGAACACTTAACAATGAACTGCATACATATTTTCATATGGAAAGTCTAGAATAAAAACCTATGTGATTCGCTATTTAAATGAAACTTATATATAGAAACCAAATAGTCAAAAAATAGTAATAGGGGGTCGGATTGTATAAGTAAACCAAAAAGATTTAAAGTTCTTACGGTTATATCCGACCGAATACTAATATCATGAAATATTTTTACTATTGTATTATTACTAATACTATCTAAAACATTTTTCTTCAAGATATAACATTAAACTATCACTTAAAAATTAATCACTCATTTTTTTTTATATATGACACAAATATATCACTTAAAAATTATATAAGATTATTTCTTAATCCGTAATTAGGTATTTCGGCTATAGAGATATAAAAGGTGGGCTTTAAAACTCTTGTATTTAACTTTTTTGTCAAACAAATTAAGATAGGTCACAAATAAATTTTATATATTGCTTGTAAAAGAATTATGTTGGTCAAGTGACCACGTTGACACTATATGTACACGCCGTTGTATGTTCACAAACAACGTAGTCAAGTGGGATATGTGTATGTATATTGGCATCCATATTTACAAGATATAAACTTTCTCCAACATATTTTTATATCCCTCCCGTTATAAGGGGGTACATATGGGTAACGCACACAGACATACACACTAAATAATTCAACGTCAAAAGTAGGAGGTTGATTTAGTTATGTTGAAGTAGTTGAATAACTAATAGGATTAAGTAGAAAAAGGTTGTTCCATTATATGACGAGTTTTAAAAGGAGACAGAAAAAAGTAAAACCAAAGATCATAAATTCTTGACTTTTAAAACGGCAAAAAAAAAAAAGCACATGTCCTTAAAGGTTTTTACGTTGATCGATTGTTGTAAGCTTCAAAAACATAAAACCCCATTATCTAATGCAGATTATCGTTCGTTCCACCAACTATGGAAGAACTGATAAATTCAAAATGAATACTTGGAAACCGGAAGAATACAGAGGGAGAGAAGAGAGTAGAGAGAATTCTCAGCCTCTGGTGTGTGGAATACAGCTCCAAGAAACCATAATCTTAGCCGCAAAAACCCTAGAAGACACCCAAAATAACCGCAAGAGCCAGAGTACGCTCGTCACAGTATGAAGTCACACGTTAATTGGATTGGTCCAACCCGATCCAACCAAAACCAAAACTTTGCTAAAATTAAAAGTTCCTCAACTCTCAGCGCCCAAAAAATGCAAAGTAAATCACATCATTCCAAGAACCTCTCGTCCATTCACATTTGTGGGCTTGACCCATACCTTATCCTCCACTAAAACAAGATAAACCTAAGATAAACCTATCGTAGGTTTTTCCCCCAACTACATGGGACTAGAGAAAATTGCATTTTGCATCTTGTAATTCAACTTTCTAAACCAATCACTATACTATCCATGTAGACTTCTTTACTTTTGTTATATCTATCTTTTATGGTATATCTTTAACCTTCAGAGATTGCACGTGTAACCCTTGAATATAAATATTGATGATTTTGTACCGAAAAAAAATTAGTGTCACAACTTAAAACTATCTAATATATTTTGATTATTGTGATCATCATAACAATTATCCATGATACTGTATTAAAACATTGCCTATAATTAAACATCTTACTAAAAGTTACATTATTAATCAGACTTATAAGTTCTACAAAAGGATATTGCGTCATCTAACTAGTAATCATCAGAGACAAACAATATACAAAAATACTGCATGCATGATGCCAACTTAATATTCAATCCAAGAAAATAAGAAAAGTTTATTTTGTAATTATAAATCCCAAGTTTAATAAAATGTTACACTTGTTATGCACAAATTCCTAGTATATCTGTAATTTGATTTCTAAATATATTAGGCTCAAACCAAACCACATAAACCGCACAAAAAGGAAAACCAAACATCATAACCTTTATAATATACAAACTTGTAAAAGAAACCTTTTGCTTTGCATACATTCCTAACCTAAAAACATTATGTAATGAACCTCACAGAATAGAATATACAAATCACCATCAATCCAAAAAGAAAAGCTCCAGTTTATGGTAAGTTTGATGATATGAGAGAATGAATTTTATTGATGAGAAAATTGAATCAAATTTTAAAATGATGAAGAAGATACGAGTCACCTCCAAACAGTCTCATTTGCATCAGTGAAAATGGCATTGTGATGTTCTATCAGACACTGTAAAACCTCTATGCCACTGAAGTCGATTCGCACCCCATCATCCAATGGAATTGCTGAGGAAACATCTGAATCTTCACTCTCATCTGGATGGAATTTTTTACACCAATAAAAAAAAAAGTTAAAATTAATTCCCAGATTCTAGGCTAAATGCAAGACATAATACTATATGTTATAGCATCATTACAAGTAAGATGTACAGTTTACAGCTTAAAAGTCGAATATGGTTTAATAAACAAATGAAGAAAAGCATATTGTTATTAAGGGCAATAGAGAACACAAACCTGCAAGCATATCCCATTCGTTATAGTTTTGCACAGAATCAAGATTTGCATTGGATTGAGTCTTTGAGGGCTGATTCCAGAACTGTTTATAAGTTTCTGGTGGTTGTCCCTTCTGCCACATAATGATAGGAGCCATCTCCATAGCAAGGCTTCCAGCATCCATCTAAAAAAAATTTATGATTACTACAACGCCTAATCATTTATTTATTTGTAAAAGAAAAAAAGATAGAGAGAGAGGACCTTGTTGAGAAGCGACTTCTTGCTAACACGTAGCAATAAAGCAGTAATGAGTTCAAGTGTCATGTAATTGACTGTGGGAAGCTTTTTCAATATGCTTCTCATTAGTGGGATGCTGGAACGGGCCCCACGCACTTCATTGTGGAGGTCTGGAGTGATTAATGGCTGAGGAAGGCTTGCAAGGTAGCACTTCACAAGGGCAGCAACGTCAATTGGGTTCACATTTTCAGGTAGTGGTGCATTCAAGTCTGTTGTAATTAGTTAATTACATTTACATTTCACAAATCACAAATCACAACGAATTATTACAAAAAGATAGATGAAATTTGGACTAGAGCTGGTACCCTTACCCTGGTTGTATAATGAAACCAACTGCTGAATGGCTTTCTTGTTTCCTTCAGACTTGAATAAATCAGGTGAGTTTAATCCTGATAATACAAGATAATCTGCAGATTTTATTAACAGAAAAGGAACAGGCTTGCTGGATTCTTGCCTCTGTACTGTAACCTCTATTGGAACACCAAACACTGAACAAAACAATTTCATGTCAATTTAAAAGACTTTTCTTTGACTATTTATGTAAAAAAAATAATAATAATAATAATAATAAAAGCTAACCATCAGTGCTTGCAACACCCTTTTGCCATCTTTCAATATCAGTCAACAGAGTTTTGCTCTTTTGGGCAGTCTTCTTTGCCACCTGGAGAAAAGTCAATGATAAAATTAAACCATAAATAATTAAAAGGTGGATTAGTATTTAGTAGTTAGTAGTTACCTCTTCTACTTTAGTTTTCCCTACAACAACTTTCTCTTTTGTCTCTGAAACACCTTTTCTTAGAAAGAAGCTTGTAGTGGCAGCAGCATTGACAAGTTTTTCCTGCATTGCTTGCCTTGTTGATGGCTGTTGAAAGAGAGACCATCTGTTTTTCACCACAGAGCCAAATTTTCCTGCAGCTTCTGAAACATTGCCTTTTGCATCTTTAGCAACTTCACCAACAAATGTTCCTGCAGACTGTCCAGCTTCTTTCAGTTTTGACCCTGCATCATTTGTTTATTTTATAAAGAAAAACTCAGAATTGTCAAGTGAAAGAGGACATTAGTTAAGTTAGGTTAAGTTACCTGAAGATGAGAAGAAACCACTGGCCTTCTCTTGCCATTGAGGCGAAACGACTGAAGGCATTAAGCTGATTTCTTTTACACCAATGTAAAAGAAAGATAATCAATCAGTGAATAGAATAAGTAATTAGAAAGGTTAATCTTTTGTGACTATATGTCGACAAGAGTTTTTATCACTAAGGATAGGATCAAAGTTCCAGACGATGTATATTTATTAACTTTCATATGTTTCAGGCAAAGCCATGTAATTTCTTGATCACTAGACAAACAATCTAGAAAGAAGAGCAGTTTTTTTACAATTTGAGGCTCTCTAACTTGAAAAAGAAAGTAACATGATCATTGGGTTGTTATGATTGCTTTCAGAATATCCACACAGCGTACGTAAGTACTCTTGGAACAAACTAACTAAATCAATTTCAATTTTTCAATATCAAACGGAAATAATCACATCAATGATCGCCGGAAAACTTCGAATTCCACAGGGAAAAAAAAGAGTCAAGAAACTGAAGAACCGATTAGTCACACCACTTGTATTCTTATTCAATGATGAAATATGTGTTTGTAAACAAACTGAAAGCAAGCGATCAATCTTCAAACGTATATATAGAAACGCATATATATGTATAACAACAGATATCATTAAACAGTAAGGATCAAAAACTTACGAAGAACGAAACCCTAGAGAGTTGCGAAAACAGAATAAATGAATTGAGGGTTTACCTTCCGATTTGCGGTTAATCGATACTAAGATTTCTCGCAGCGAATCTTGAGGAACAGCTAAAATCAAAAGCTTTTACGCCTTGTTCCCGAGTTTCACTTAAAGGAGAGAAATGGGAGGACACGGAGAGAAAGTGAAAAATCATGTTCCCCGAGTTTCATTAATGGAAGGAAAGTGAGGGGAGGGGAAGGATTTTGGAGTCATATTTTCCTTCCAAATTTATTTGGGACGGATTTGGGAAGAAAGTAGGGGGAAGGAAAATTTAGTTTTATTTTCTTTTTCCTCCTAACTCGGAACACAAAAACTTAAAATTTTCCTTTCATTTCCTTCGAACTCGGGAACACGGAATAATGAATATTTTCCTTCACCTCCCTTTCTTTCCGTCAAAATTTTCCTTCACTTTCCCTTGATGAATTTACAAAAAAACTCGGGAACAAGGCGTTCGAGAGAGAAAGAGAGAAAGACGTGATCATTCGAGTTCTTTTGTGGGGGAAAGTGACAGTAGGCAAGAAAATAGACCATTGACTAAAGTAGGATGACGAGTCAGCAGAACCAACGCCAATAAGGCTGCTGGTGTAGGAGTTTTTGGTGGACTAGAGAATATGGTAACGTAGCTCTATTTCTGGATTTTTCCAACAGATTAACGGTAGAGAAATTATTAAATAATTTTTAATTTCTTGTTTAGTTTTTGTTTTGAAACTTGGTATCATAAAAGAAAATGTTTCGAAAGGGCTTTCCTACTCATAATGATACCACCATAATTTAATCAAAAATTTACAAATCAATAGTATCAACTAAAGCAATTAAGCAAATATCTACTCTCTGGATTTAAGTTCATAAAATTCACACATGTATTAGGGTTTGAAATTCTCTTTATTCGTAAAAATGTGAATGCTTTTTATACTTGTACAACTCTTAGAGATTTGGTTGATATCCAAACATCATTAAACTAAGTAATTATCTAATTAAGATAATTGTCTTCATATAATTATCTTCGGAATTTAAAGCTTTTGGCTTATTACAAAATAAGTTCATCTCTATTGGTTTCTAATTAAACCATCAAGTATTGATAAATAATTAAACCCTAGTAGCAGTCAGACTAAAATTCGAATGGTTGTATTTGTTTTTAAGATATACAATTTTTCCCGCCAAATAACTGAAAAGTGTATATATATGTGCGGGGTTCGGTTTGCAAAGAACTTTTACATATACATTACATTTTTTTTGTTGCAACTTGTTTGTCTCGCCATAAAACAATGTATTTTTTGTGTTTGTATATCTAAGTGATGAAGTTGTTTGGAATTAGGATATAGTTTTCCAAGATTATCCTAAATTTGATTTCATGATACCCGATGCAATACGGTCAAAATACAGATTTTAAAATTTTTACAAACAATTCTTGAAATTATCCAAGTTACTTATTGATATTTCTTCCCCTGCTTCTCTAACAATGAGATCAAAGCAAAGCATCCAACTTTTTTAATCTTCAAATGTGCCAATGCTAACAACTATTCTTTCAACATTCAAAACATCATTACTTCAATACCTAACTTATATAAATTTAATCGTATTTCTAGTTACAGTTAGCTGATTTTAAGCTTTGTTAGCTCAATTCAATTTACAACAAATCCTCCAAATAACACAAGTCTTCTTTTTATCCATACCAAAGATTACAAAAATGTAAGTTTTTGTTAAATGGTTGTGTTTTCCCTTATATTTGCATCTACTCCATGGATGTAGGCATCGTGTTCCATTGATGCTCTCACAAGATTCTTCTGAGATATGACCATATAAATCATCTCTATCAAATCCCAACTATTTCAAGAAACCAATCCTCTTATGTATCATGGAACACCAATATGTTGAATATTCAAATTGTCAGGATCCTAGGATATTTCAAACATGATCATGATAGTCCCAATTGCTGTCAAATTTCTTCAAGTTTCTTACAGATTTGCTTTATATCAGGCCTGAGAGAAGGCGATGGAAAACAACAATCCATTGCCATCCTGAACAATCCAAGAACACGTTCTTCATTCATCAAACTTCCATCACCATTATCTTCATCAACCAGAATATCAGGATGATACAAATCTGATATCCGGTTATCCAAGATTGCAATCCTCAACGAGGTTGCCAAATAAGAATCTTGATTAGGGTTTCCTTTCTTGTTTACTGCTTCCTTTCCCGTAAGTAATTCTAGTAAAATCACTCCAAAATTGTAAATATCAGTCGCCTCATTTTCTTCCATTTGCATCAATTCAGGTGCTTTATACCCTTCAATATCAGCTTCTTCGAGCATTTCTTGAGCTGCATCTGGTTTAAAGAAAGTGTGTAGACCAAAATCCGACACAAATGGTTGGTGATTTTGACCCAAGAGTATGTTCTTTGACTTGAGATTTCCATGGATTATCGGTTTTTGAAATCCCGTATGTAGATAATCTAATCCTCTAGCAATCCCCATCGATATCCTACAAATGACTGTCCATTTATGACATTCGTCTTCTTCATCTGCCAAAAATTTTGAAAAAAATTAGCATCTCAAAAAAGAAAAAACAGAAGGGTAGAAAATAAAAAAGATTACCTTTGATGAATTGAGCCAAATTTCCCATCTCATAAAAGGGATGAACAAGAAGCTTTTCACCTCTACGCCCATAATAGAACCCACAAAGAGGAACTAAATTAGGATGCTGAATTGAGCCAATAAGTTGTACCATAGGCATCAAATCTTGTACCTTTTCTGTACAAGTTGGTCTCAGGAACCTCAAACATACGATTGAATTATTCGTTGCCAAATTAGCTTTGTACAAAGTCCCGTATTTTGATTTCCCAATAACTTCACCAGGGGCATCGAGTATATCAGCACAAGTCAGATCTTCACCACCATTAAACCTTATTAAATTCCCATTTATTTCCATTTCTTTACTACTTTCAAAGCTTGATTCTGTGTCCCGAGATTCATCATTTCTGGACCCTTTTCTTCTACAGACACAAATCAAACCCAGGAAAATGAATACAACCAACGAAATTGATGAAGTCGCAATAAGAATAAGCTTGTGGCCCTTCTCCATGTGGGTATACGATCAAAAGCTCAAAGAATCAAGAACATTCAAACCCATAAAAAAGGGTAAAATGGCAAGCGGTATGGTGTCTAAGATGCTAGTTCGACATGGATATATAATCAAAAGCTCAAAGAATAAAAAACAATCATATACCCATGTTCAGAAAGATCGAAACTTTTCAAGAAAAATATTATCTTTTTAGGATTCTTGATGAAGGTGAGAAATGCAGGTGCAATGAACAAGAGACATTTAGGTTATTCAAACAAGAAACAAGGATTGAGTGTCAGTTTATGGATATTCTCTATGTGGTTATATGATCAAAAGCTCGAAAATATTCAAGAAAAGTTGGAACTTGTTTAGGTGTCGTTGGAAGAAGGTGAAATTCGTTCACGGGTTTAAGTATTCTCACCCACTTTGGCTGATTTGAACAGATAAGAAATGTGGATTTTTTGGTGTCATGACAGAAATAGAAAGTGCTAATAATTCTGTTTGGAAGATGGACTTTCAGAAAAGAGTTTTCTGAAGAAAGAGGAAAGAGACAAGAGGAGGGATTCTTGACTAAAGAAGGAGATTGGAATGTCTAGTTTGAGAATAAGGTTAAGGAATCGGATTCAGTTTCAAGTTTCAAGTTATCCAAAAGCCATAACATATAACTTAATTTGGTTTAGAGTCTCCATCTTTGAATTAATGATATCTTTAACTATATGTGCGATTTCAATCCACGTCTATTGACGTCGAAATTAAATGGTAAAAGTAAAACAAAGTACTTATTCATAATTCTATTGATTGAACTATTAATTGTTTTCTTTTCCATTAAGTTTTTCTTCTCTTTAAAATCGTTATTTTTATTATTATATAAATTTCACAATGTTCAAAACAATTTCAAAGACGTTATTGATTTTTGATGTTACAAAGTTTTTAAGCTATGACTACTTTTGTTTAACAGCATATTTTAGAAACGTATGTCGTTTTTATGGTAATAACTTTTTAAACACGAGTTTCATAACATAAAACTTATTCATATTTTATATTTATTCTCAAAAAAGTAGTCACCATCTTAGAAAGTTTTTTCATCTCAAAGCCCTTAGTTAATATATGATACGTGGCTTCACAAAAGTCAATCATTTATTATAGCTATAAAAATAGTTTGCATTGTTGGGAAAATATTTCGAAATTTGTATGTGATATATTATGGCCATAAATAACAATTAACCATTTTCTTCTATATCCGGTTTTTAAAATATAAAGATAATAAAAATAAAACGTGTGATTCATAAAACCAAATTAACATTACAGAAAAAAAAACAATAATAAAGAAACATTAGTTCGAAGGGGATTGGGGAAAACAAAATTAATGACAAACTAATAAATAAGGCAATAGTTTCATTGGGAAATGGTAGTAAAAAGGTATTATAACACATTAACTTTCACTAAATATTAATTTATCCTTAATTCAAAAACTTATATCTTTATTAAAAAACACCTACAATTTGGAATTGGAATAATTTATAAAATAAAAATCTTAGTCAATTTGTTTAGTGGAGATTTGGATAGTATGAGGGTAGTTGGAGGCATGTACTTTAGGATGTTGGTTGGACAATATTCCGTTCAATAATCAATATGATTGTTGAAATGATCCCAATATATATTTCTTTTTATCATTTTCAAGTTATATATATATATATATATATATATATATATATATATATATATATATATATATATATATAGGACTTAGGGAATATGTGGCTGTCATGTACCTAAGCTTATATATAGAACCCTCTAAATAATATAGTTTTGATCAATTTATATCCAAACAAATTATGATATCTCTTTTACTATTCTTCTTTAATCATGTGACTTACTAAATCGATCAAATTTATGTTATTTTTCTTCATTGTGTCTAAGAACTTAAAACATTAAAATTTGTGACCATTTAATCAACCCTACTAAATTCTAAATGAAAACTAATAGAATAAAAGATAAAAGAACATGTCATAACTCAATCAAGCTTTTTACAAAATCATTGGATATAATTTTTCAATTGAAAGACAAAACGCTTGAGTTATATTCGTTAAAAAATATTGATTTTTTATTTTCTCTATAAACTTCAATAATTATTTGCAGTAAAAATATATATATAATTGATCTTTTTCATTCCATAATTGAACTTAATTCAATGATATTTTATTAAAACAAAGCTAGGAGAAAATAAAATTGGATTTATTTTGTTTAAAACTACATCATTTAAAAGGTTCTATACCTAAGTTTAGGTACATAACAGCCACATATTCACTTTTCCCTATATATATATATATATATATATATATATATAGAGAGAGAGAGAGAGAGAGAGAGACACGAGGGTTCAATTGAGAAAAAAAATGTTGAGAATTGGGAAATCATTCTCAGTCAATCATTTATTTTTGCCGCAAAAAGTTCCAACGTACCGGCGGAAATGGGAAAGGAATGCACATGTGTTTTCCAACAAAACATGTTTCCTTAAACTATGCTAAACATTACCTTAATATATACAAAAACATAGTTTTTTTTAAGAAACTATTTTTATCGAAAAATGATTTTAAATATACCGAAATTCATGATTTTTTATTCTCTATAAATAGACATCCATATTGATATAGTTTTAAGATAAAATAAAAAAATTATTTTTTTTATATTTTCAGCTATCGTTATTCATAAGTGAATAAAAATGAATCTGATTTTTTAATACAGTACATTCGTTATTCATTTATGAATAAAAACTATGATTAATTTTTTTTACAATTTAAATATCATTCATATATGAATATAGCATATACTAAAAATATTATATTTATATTTAAATATTAGACGATGCATTCAATTGTGAATATTACATAGTATATTCACTTGTGAATGTTAGATGATATATTTACTTATAAATATTATATGATATTTTCATATGTGAATATTATATAGTATTACATGGTAAATCACATGAGAATAATACATAGTATATTCACTTGTGAATATTAGATCGTATATTCACTTATAAATAATAGTTGGTATATTCATATATGAATATTACAATGTGTTTTCAGAAATATATATAATTTTTATATGTTATTCACATATGAATAACATACAGACTTACATATTTGTTTTGTGTTTTAATAATCACATATTGATTTAGGTGAGAAAACATATTCATATGTGAATATAACGTGGTAATTTAGTTTATGCATTTCATCAAACAGTTGGAGTGCATACAAGTTAACTTTTTTAAAAATGTGATAAATATGATACTTTGACTACTTAAATCTTACAAAATATTAGATTGGTAGAGAAATATATGAAAATTTCAAACAAAAAATGATTTGATCTTTTTCTAACCTTAATTTCGATGTTTTATTTGATGAACGATGTTGAATGAATAATACAAATTGAATTTTTTGTTGATTATCGATGATGTTGTTCTAATAATGGTGGGAGTATAATTAATCGTAGATGTTGAAGATATGTTTGTATTCAAACAGAATTGAAGGTTTGATTGAAAGAACAAAAAACGAATGAATTTCAACTGTTCGTATTTGTGATTGAATGCTATTATATCATATTTACAAGTTTGTCATCGTGTTCTTTATGTTTAGAGGCTAATTAAATGAGTGGCTGAGAATGATTCCCCCATTCTCAACCTTTTTATTTTCTCAATTGAACCCACCTCTCTCTCTCTCTCTCTCTCTCTCTCTAGTAGATTACCCGCGCGATGCGGAGGCGCCAGATAATTCCTTTCGACAGATTGTTTCTATGTAATAATAAGTTTCATTTTCGTGTCAGATAGTTCGCTTTCAGTCTTGTAGCAGATTGTTTTGTGTCAGATAGTTTCATTCGACAAATGACTTGTACCTAGGTACATGGATGTGGAGGCAAAATAGTTTCTTATCTATTACCATTTATTGGTCTGGTTTTTATTTTATGATTATTTGTTAAGGTTGTGCATAAAGTGAAAAGGAAAAAAAATTCGAAAATAGATATGTTTTGGAAAACGAACAATGATGGATTTCTTTTCAGGAATATTGTTTCGAGTCATGTATTTTTTTAACGGTGCCAAGTATTTTTACATCAAATGTTAAACATTATAATATACACGAGCAATTATCTTTTATTGAACCCATTACTCATTGTTTTGATGTGGAAAGGAAATAATAAATTATTAGGGTTAATATACATAAATATTTATTTATGTATAAAAACATTTAAATTTTCATATAAAATATGATTTTACTACCTATTAAAATATTTACATCTTTTATATTATTATAATTTATTTATTATATTTAATAAATCTTGTAGTATTTAACGGTTTAAATGTCGTGGTCTAACTTTCTTATATATTAACACATTTTAGTAGTATTTAAACGTTTAAATTTAATTCAACAATAGTTTTTTTATGACCTTTATTTTTTTAATATGATAATATTAGTTCAATTATCTATTAAAAACTCTTGTAATTCAACATTTTAAAATTTTAAATTACAAGTCAAATATATTTATACTGTACTATTTAATAAAATCCTAACAAACAAAAAATATAGTAATTATTAAATTCACATTTGGATATCTGGAATTTTATAAACCAAAAGTACAATAAATACATCAGAGACTAAATATTTTCGATCTTAAAGCTAACAAACAAAAATTAAACCAAATAACAAATATTATGTATTGCTATGTTTAAAATATTCTAACCACCTCTGTGATGTATATTACCATATCTGAAATACGAAAATCAAAAATTAAATGATACCATATTTATATATCTGAAATAAACTTAAAATCAAGATAAGCCTTCTACTTTACATTTCCAAATGTGCAAGCCACACAATGATATATACATAGCATTTAAACTAATAAAAAGTAACCAAAGTGGCTTATAAACCAAAACATTGCATTCTAATGTACCCCAAAGGAGAAAACAAAAGCCACAACTCTAATCTTCTCATTTTTGTTTATATACAAGTGTTAATTGAGATGTTAAATTCTTCAGTTTATGTCTCCTCTGTCAAATATATACACAGGTGATCTATTATGAGGGCCAACTATGCATCACTTGTTAGACCATATATCGCCTTCCTTTACTTTGAGCATTAACAATTGCCAACTGCATCAACAATATAAAAACCACTCAAATGAATAAGTATAGAGACACAAATATATATTTGGGTTATTTGTGAATACAACAGTTTAAAAAACAGCTAAATGTATAGATTCAAATTCAATCACTAAAGTTATAAGAGTAATATACATGATACAGATTTCAACAAAAACGGACAATTGACATTGACATCAGTATGCGTAACCTGCTAAAATTAAGATAAATGAAGTGGGGTATATGTATATCAATAAAGAGACATAATTTATGAAAATTGTAAATGAAGTATTTTTATAAAAATAGAGACGTCTAACCAAAAGATCCAAAAATACCAGGTCTAAAAATAAGATATTAACAAAAAGACCCATTTGAACTTATAACTAATATTAAAGAGAATGGTTTAACTCATCTGGTAGAAGAACCAATCCTTCTTTCTTGCAAAACTCCACAATTGTCGCCTTCCTGAGATATCCCTACAAGAATACCCATCATTAGTTCTCTTTCCCCTTATAGCTATATTTAAGTTTCAAATGACAAGGTCAAAGCTAGTAAAGCTATTAATTAAAGCAAGAAATTTTAATTAGTACCATATCTAAAATCATGCACGTTAAACCTCTCTTTCACTTGAAGTTCAGCAGCCTCCACGAAGAGCAACAAACATCCACATCCATTCACACACACATAAATAACCATTCGCACACACACCCATTCAGCCACATAGACACAATTACACACACATAAATTCAAATAAGCACATACACACAAATCCAAATAGATAAACACATACATATAAAGAAAAATATGATTTCAGATCATTAGACTTACAGATCATAAAAACCATTAGCTCATTCTTCCCATGTTTCAAGAAAAAAACCAATTAAAAAGCCTCAAAAACCACCTAAAAATTTCAAGAAAACAACCGGGCTTGCTTCCAATCGGGCATATATTAAAAAATGCTTATCTTGGACACCCCAACAGTAGCAACCATGGAACATTGCAACATAAGAACAAAATATAGAGGATGAACGGGCTAGAATTTGTTGATTCTTACGCATATTTGAGATGATAAAGAGAAAAGACTGATATCTCACCTGAAAATGATAATTAGAGAAAAAATATGAGAGCTCACACAAACACACCTACACTTTCAATAAACACATACACACAAATATACATGAATTTGTTAAACAAAATCATATAGCTTAAAACTCGTAATAAAAAAAATAGGAGAGTCTTACCTCCTTATGGACCTGTATTTGAAAACTTAAAAACCAAAAGAAAATAACCCAAAATGGGATGGTGTTAAAAACTCTTCTTATTTGGGGATGTGGGATAGAAGCCAAAATATGGGGAAAAACAACTAAAATGAGTAAAAACCCAAAGATTTGTATAATATAGTATAGATATAAAAGAAGGAGATGAGATTCCTATAGTTAGATTCACTCCCGTGAATCACATATAAGATCTGAGCTCGTCATTGCCCTGGGATGGTAGAAACCCTAGGACTGGTTACTAAGATAAAATACATTAAAAGACATCTTAAAATTTTCGATCTTTCAGTTTAAACAAAATAAAAGGAAGCATAAATCTCCACATAATCATGATAGAGATAAAGAAAAAAAAGAGAATGAGTTTCATGAAGATGATTTTTACCAACATCCCAAGAACGCTACATGGCCTATAGATAACATATATGCGATAGGAAGCAAGAGGAGAAACACTATGAGCATGGTAAATTAGGTCTGATTATAAGCAATAAAAGTCCCAGAACTGAAACATCATTACCTTTCTCAAATAAGCCCTAAATCAACGCTCATCACTGGGTTGAAGGAACAAAACATCGACATTTTTAGATGGCTTCATCTCCCTCGATCTGTTACCAAGAAATTGTGTGCGTATGACGGTTCTATACAGAAAGTGGTGAGGGGTCGAAGGGTTTCAAATAGAGAAGAAGCGTTGGTGCAACGGTGCTCCGGCGGTGGTGATTGGTATGACACCATGCCGGTGGTACTGGGTTTACCAGACGATCGGTAGAAGAAGGAGGTCGGTTTAGAAACAACGCAAGAGTGGTGGTTGGTGATGGCTGTCGAATTTGGAAGTTGGGGTTTCCAGGAAACAAATTTGGGTGGGAGACATGCGAATATTGTGATAGTGTAGGGTTTTTGTAGCGGCGACTGATGAATTCAAATGAGAAAGCCAGGTCAAAAAGCCGATATATTTTCCAGAAAAAGTGCACACGGTTGGGTATTAAACGGAGCTTTCTTGACTTTTTGACCGGATATGATCTATCTTATATGCAATGCATAAAGTCATTGTAAATATTGCATTAAAATTTGTACGACTTAATTTTAAGCGTTTGACCAAAGATTCTTTATAAGGTAATATTATATATATATATATAATATATATATATATATAATATATCTATATATATATATATATATAGTGTTAGGTTCAAGTGAGACGGCCTAATTTGGTGAGACCGTGAGACACAATCCTAGTCACTCATTTATTATATAAAACAAAAACATTTTTAAAATGCAAAAGAATTGAAAATTTTCGGAAAAAAAAAATATTTCCAATATTATTTTCGGAATATATATTTTCCAAAAAAATACCAAAAAAAATAAAAATACAAAATACAAAAAAAAAAATACATTTTTTACATATTTTAGTAGAATATTTAGAATATTCTACATATCTGACAAATCTAGTAGAATATTCTAAATATTCTAAAAATCATATTAGAATATGTACAGTGTAATATTTTATTAGAATATTTCATGTATATTTCAAAAAAACCGCAATTTTTTTTAGTTAAATTCCGAAAACAATAAGTAAATTTTTTTTTTTGGATTTTTCCTTTTATTTTGCATTTTAAAATTATTTTTAGATTTGGTCTCACGGTCTCACAAAATTAGCGTGATCTCAAATGAACCTGAACATATATATATATTATATATATATATATATATATATATATATAATATATATTATATATATATTATAGGAAGGGTTATTTGGAAAACCCTAAAAATCATAAAAATGCATAAAAAAATACCAAGACATCACAAACTTTTTTTTTGAATTTTTTTATCGAAAAATCGTAGCATTTTTTACAATTTCGCTGAAAAAAATCATTTTTTTTTGTTAAAAAAATATTCAAATTTTTTTCATCGATTTACCTAAAAATTGCGCTTTTTTGATAAAAAAATTCAAAAAAAAAGTTATGATCTCTAAGTATTTTTTTATGCATTTTAATGATTTTTAGGGTTTTTTTTTTTTCCATAGAACCTATATATATATATATATATATATATATATAATATATATATATATATATATATATATATATATATATATATATATATATTAAAAAAGTCTAAAGTTAGGAACAGTAAAATTGATGGTGTTTTGGCAGTAATGGTCCTCCATTTATAGCGGTCTCTCATATTTTGGCTTTATTGATGTATATTCTTTTTCTGGACAATTTTTGTCATTTTCTGCAAACATTATCGAGACGTGTTTCTCACTTATTTTTTTCACCGATTTCCTAGCCAATCACAATTCGATTGTTGTTCCAACTCCACCGCTTTGAATCATCAATGTACAGGCAATCTTTCACCGCCACCAGCTTTAATCCTTACTTCCACCGCATTAATCTACCGCTTACTATATCCTCTCTCAAAATCGCTCCTCTAAACCTCTCTCAAAGTGTGAATCTCGGTCACCCATCAATGCTTCCTCGACCGCTCACTTTAGAATTTGTCAAATCCACTCTCCTACCTCCACCGCCGATGGTCGATGTTGTTATTCACCATCGATGATGGCGATGCAGCAATATATCCACCGCCTTAGTTTAACCCCCCCCCCCACCGCCTATATCTCTTCTATGTACCTTCTCAGATGAAAAAAATCCAATATGTACTGTCTCACTCCTCCGACTTCCAACTGCAGCGACCCTCAACACCTTCGTTGTTGTTGAATCCAGCCACGACACCATTCACATTGTTTGATTCCCTCCACCGTCTCCCTTTTTTTGCAAACATTTTTTTTCTATTTCTCCACAATTTCCTTTCTGTGTCGGTTATTCTGGTTCCAATTTTGGATGCGTAAATATTCTCCCAAAGCTCATTCCTAATTTCCATTGCAATAGAATAAGTTTTCTTTCATATATCTCAATTTCGACGTCCGTGTTAATGATGCAGATGAAGATATATTGAGCCCTATTTTCATTTCTGTTTATGATTTTGTAGTCTACAGATGATGCCCACCGTTTCTCTCTCTGATCGTCAAGCGTCTACCTTATTTCCTTCGATTCAACCTATTCGTCGTGATTATAAACATGTGTTCTCTCCAACTCCTACACCCAAAAAAAAAACCTCTTTGTTTCGGGGGTTTTTCAATTGTTGACCATTTGTTCTCTATGCAACATGTCCACCACTTCGCACAATCTTACAAGAACTTCAATTGCTGACCATCTGTTATGTATCTCTGTGCGTAGGTGTGTGGATCTATGTGTTCGTCTCTTATATGTAGGTATCCCAACGTTGGAGATGAAGCTGACGATCGCCCCACCCCCACGAGTGTAAGGAGCTAGATCCATAGTTTTACATACCATCTCCGGGTTCTGGTGCCGTGTTCTTCCTCAAAATACTATTGATACCCATTCCACCGTTTAGATTTCTTCTTTAGGTTTCGCCTGTTGTTGTGGGCGTGACCGCTAACAGAGAAAAGAATGGTGGGCAAAGAGAAAAGGCATCAGATGATGCAAAATTTGTTCGATGATCAATCTGAAGAACAAGAGGAAGAAGAGGTTGAATTGTATTTGTTATTCATCTATCTCTTCATGTAGTTGTTCCCCTCTAAAACAATTAACCATTATTTCATATTTGTATTTTGCGATATGGGTTTGTAGGTGTCATCGATTTCTACCACCTCCGCCACAACCTTCGAGGTTCAGTCTGCCTTTTTTTGTATACATATACTAAATTTCTGATTTATGTTCAAACCAATTTATTTATATTGTTGGTGTAAATAGGTTGAAATTGGTTTTAGGTAATGTGGAGCAATTGCTGTAAGATTGGATTGCAAGCTTTTTCAACAGATATCAATTTTTTCACATATCAAGATCGTTTTAACGCCCTTCTCCTTCAATAAGGTACTGTTCCGTTTTGTGTGTTTTTTATTACTTTCATCTATTCTTCTTCTTCCTTTTCCCTCTTTTCATCGCATTATGACAATTCTTCATGATGTTCTTCACATTTTCTAATTTGTGTAGAGATTTATGATGATAGTTGAAACCTAAATGGCAAATTATCTTCAAATTTGCATATGATCTGATAGTATTTACCTTTTAGATTCTTTAGCAACTGTTGTTACTTAAAAAATCTAGCAATTTACTTCATGGATCTATCTTTCAGTTTCTTCATAACTGCTCTTTCAAGCTCACGAACTTTTAATTAGAAAGTAAATATAATTTCATTTACACAAACCCTTCTCAAATCCAATCTTAGAGTATAGAAATTTCGATGCACAATATACAAGTGTTTAATCTGATTACTGTTACTATTACGGCTTCAATTTGCAGGATACTCTTACAATCAAACCTCCCAAAAAAGCTTCATTGGTGTTAAGATTAACGATGTCAGCATTTGCACTGTTGTGTAGTATTTATATATGTTTCATTTGTTTAAAACAAATGCACCCTAAAAAAAAGAACAAATTTTTATTCTTTGATCAATTTGAGAGGCTGTCTTCTGATACAATCGTTGATCATTCCCAAATCCCTTTCTTGCATTACCCCCAACTGAAAACTTTCAATAGGTAAATCTTTTCTTTTTTAATATTTTTTATAAAGATTTGTTGGATTCCGAGATAAAATATGGTGAAATTTCAGGTCAGAATGTGCCTGAAAAATTAGGCAAAAGGTGATGGTAAGGTGTCATCACAATGGAAGGTGGTGTAAAGTATGTTAATTGATCAATCAACACGTAATGAGTTAGCTCTGGAATATAGCAATCACCATTCACCAAACAACATAAAGAAATATTTATAAATTCTTGAATACATATGTGACATCCCCATTTTCACGGCGAGAAAAGACCGATTTTTTTTATGCTTTATAAAAACCAGAGTACCTCTTTTAATAAAAATCTTGCGGAATTTGTTCCCAGTAATACATGATAAATACGTTATCAAAGCATTTCCGAAGAAAAGTAGTTTTATTCATTTTAAAACATTTGGGATGTCATCGTTAATACAGAAACATAAGCATAAACAGAACTTACATTCTTTATCACTAGTGATTTGTATCTCCTTAATCTCTCAGTGTAATGTGACTTCATATCAACACCTGTGATATAAATAAACTGAGTGAGTCAGGCTGGGAAACCTAGTGAGTAAATAGGTTTTTCAACCCAAAATAATATAATTATTATGTTTAAACATCAAACAATCAACCCAATTACCCATCCCCATTATCTTCTTTACTCTTAAGGATCTACCCTAAGAATCAGCTATTCCTCGTTTATTCATTCCTAAGGAATTGGCACGAAGTCCATCGTCGTCAATGACACAGCTGTCAAGCACAGCTGCTAGTTCTATCACTTAGGCGCAACTGCCAGAATTGTGACATTTTCTATGAGGCGCAGTTGTCGGTATTGTCCTTCGGGCACAACTGCTAAGGTTATTTCATTTATTAACAGTATCGTTTTCGAGAGTCCACTTGCAATAAATGTCAATGGGTTTTTAGAGTACTCCGGTGAACACATCGTTCACAACGCCTACAGGTTGCGAGCCTGCTAGTGTTCCATTAGACTGTCTAGAATAGTCTGTGGTTGTCATCCATACTCTACTAGATGACGGGGCCAACATTTGGGAACAAGGCTTCTCACATCGTCCACCTCTCACCCTTATCTCATGGTCTATATCACCTCTCAACTCATCATCCAACTCATATTTCATCTACCCATGTTTTACCCGACATATTATGTAGATATAAATACATATACAGTTTAAATCATATGAATCTTGTATAAAATCGTTCATCCAGCACAGATAGATAACATACAAATAATATGCTCACATAGCACGTATTTTATATAAAATACTTCATATCTATGTGTAAGATGAAAGAGACCATGCACTCACTTGTTAAGGTGGTGATTCCGAACTCAGACAGCGCTTCGTTACTCTTAACACAATTTTTCTTTGACAAAACCTAGTATCATTACCACTAGAGTTTAGCCTATTATTTACCGAGACTAATTAATAGTCTAGCTATTATTACTATTATATAAGCGTTAAAAAAAATACTTATATAACTCATAATAATAGCCCAAGTATTTATTATAAGGTCCTAATAACATTACTATACTGGATCATAAGCTATACTAAAGATAGGTTAGGCGTAGCTCACTTACAACGGTTTTCTCAAAACTGGGCTCCATCGGAGCAGCGTTCCTGAGCTGAAAGGCTCTTCTTCTTGGAGCCGTCGGGCACTCCGGGGCTTCGGCCTCGTGCTAGAGAGGTTTCCTAGGCTTTTCGGGGGGGGGGGGGGGTTTGGGGCTTGAGAGAAGTTCTAGAGAGAGAGAGGGAAGTGATGGGAGGTGTGAGGAATGAAGAGGGCTTCACCTATTATTTATAGGGGGCTGGAGGGTCACTCACGTCTTGAGTTTTATGATGCTCATGTCGTGAGACAGCTGAAGACACCCAGGCATAGCCTGGTGCTGACACGTGGCATCGCACACAGGGTGGAAATCAGCCGATTTTCAAAAATTCATAACTTTCGCATACGAGATCCGTTTTTGACGTTCTTTACATCCACGCGTAGGTAAAAACAAGATCTACAACTTTCATTTAGACTCCGTCGGCTAATTCTCAACCAATATTAAATTTAGCAATAGGAGGAGAATATACTGTTAAATGTCCGCGTAAAATTCATAACTTCTACATATGGACTCCGTTTCCGTCTTTCTTTTTATTGTAGAGTTCCTATTAATGAGATCTTAAACTCGCATTTAGGTCGCGTAGGCTAACAACCGCTCGATCTAAAATTCAAGTTTCAGGTCGTGCACTGCTATGTCAAATCTTAGAAAATTAATAACTTCCTCATACGAAGTCAGATTTGGCGTTCTTTTTTGTATGTTCTCGGTTTAACATATACTACAACTTTTGTTTAGATTTATAAGGCTAAAAAGTCATCCATCGTAAATTCACTATTTACATCTCCCGGTGCCGTGCCAGTTTTGCCAAAAAACTTCGATGGGCCATAACTTCTTCGTTATAACTCAGGGTTCGGCGTTCTTTATATGTACGGAACCCTTGAGACATATTCTACAACTTGTTTAAGCTTATTTATTCTAAATAATCTTTTTTTCGAAAATTCATTTTTGATCCCTATTATCTCTAAATTGACTAGCCCGGATCTACCGGCGTTACAATTATCTCTCTCTTAGGATTATTACATCCTAGAATCATCAACGAAATAGGGCTCACATGATGACTCCATACGTTATCTATTCATCCTAAGTAATCACCGTAACTTTGATGTTTCTTTGAATGAGTATCTAACTCTAAGACTTCCTGACTGCAGGCGGTGCTCGATCTTGCTCGTGCTCCATATCTAACGTTAGACTCCAAATTATGACCCTTCAAGTCACATCTCGATCCTCACTGGATACGAACTTAAGATAAGTTCTTTTATTACTACAATGGAACGATGTGTCATATTCTAATGACATATCATCGTATGTTGCAATGCTTAGACTCAGGTCTCTTAGAGTCTGTAGAACAGACTATACTTTCCTTTATGTTCTAATCTCATCTTAAAAGGTAGTATTTCTAGCTACAAGCAACCGTCGCATACTCGCCGTAGTCGGACTCAATTTGGTATGACCACTAGGGTCGGAATAACAATCATCTTCTTAGTCATTACCGAAATGATGGTAACGACATATTTGAATAAACGGTATCAATTACTAGCTTCTTGGTAACCTTGTG